AAATGTTGTGTCTTTATATCTGATCTAAACATAGAACAATATCCAGCAGTTTTTAATTCAAATAGCAACACATCATCAGCATATCAGCATATTTTCCTGCATCTCATGTAACAATTGAGCCCTTTTGATCTTGGATGTTGCATTTATCTATTAGGTTTATGAGATTTATACTTTTAGCATATCTTCAATTTTTATAAATCCAGTTGCTAAACTCCTGTTTTAATGTTGCCAAGTCTGTGGGTGAGCTTGTTCTGTGTGTGTATGTTGCCTTGGATGCTACCTGGCCTTGTCAAAGTATTTTCCAGTGTAGGCCATTCCACAGGCGGCTCCCAGGCCCTGACCCAGAGATCCAGTGGCCACATCCACGAACTGCTGCTTCTGTTGGGAAGAACGGCGACACAAAGCAGTTAGACTGTACCGCAGTCTGAGCTCAGTCAGACAGAGGATGGATTGTTTTTGTCCTTTCCAAGGTGAACAAGAACATGCGACAGAGGACCAATCTGTGCTGTAGACGAGTTCTGGTGTTGTAGTGTCTGGACTCGATGTAAACAGTGTTGACAATGTCTGCAGCAGAGAACAAACTTTGTTTGCCAAACAGAAAGAGATTTGTTACTGCCTGCAGTATCATCAGTGGAAATACACTACAGAGAAAAATTATTTACTCCGTTACAGATTTATTTTCTTTATCTTCACTTGCCACACTTAAATGCTTTCATCATAAAAGAAGTGAAAATAAAAGTCCAAGTAATTACGAAAAGCAGTTTTCAGATAATTTGAGGTGAAAGTAAATGATATGTTGCGTTTATTGGATGGATTTTTTTTTCTTCCTGCTGGATTTGGTGTCACCTCACCGGCACAGGGTGACCCTCCAGGATGGAGTCGACTTTACGGAGGTTCAGAAGCTCGTTCTCCTTCAGGTAGCCGACCTCTGCCCAGACAGCATACAGCACAGGAGCTGCATGTCCCTGGAGAGGCAAAGGAAAGATGTTAGAGACACTCGTTAAACAGCTGCTTGGTAATCATTAATAATTATGTGGACATGGTACAGATTTTTAAAACATGGCTCAGACTGTTTGTCGCTTCTCTGGTTTAGGGAAACGTGCATCCACAAGAAGTGAACAGTGCTGTGTGGCACATGAAGAAATAAGATGGATACAAATCTGTTGATAGTAAAATCTGAAACGGAGTTATGAAAAGGGTTAACATAAAGAGATGCAAACATACTGTGATGAGCCGTTTCCTTCAGTTTCTACACAGGAGACCAAAGTCTTCATGCAGATGGGCGTTCTGGTTTTACCTTGGAGAGGATGAAGCGATCATTGTTGGGGTTGCGGGGGTCTTCAGGTCGATACTTCATGGAATGAAAGAAGAGCACAGACATGATCTCTGCCGCGCTGCAGCATGATGTGGGATGGCTGCAAAAACAAGAGAAAACTCAAACATGTGGAAGATAACCAAGAAGGTCATTCCAGACTGCCTGCTATGCCTGGATGCAATGACATACCACTGGTTTCTGGAACAAATACACCCAAGTCCAGAACTCGCATCCGCAAGTGAAAATGTGTTGAGATTTCAGTTCATTTCAGTTTGTCGTGCATGCAGATAATATGTGATACAGTCATATATTTCTATATTATACATCCACAGAAACTGAACAGTTTCTCTATGTTATACAAATATATGATGTCAAGATATGGTAGAGCTGGAATAATTCAACAAAAAAAACTAGGCTTAACCTTTTGTTTGCAAAACATCCCAATTATACCGAACTTAGCTCTCCAAACAGGCATTTTTCCTGTTTTTTATACGTTTAAAAAGTAAACAAAAATAAAAGTAGCTGAAGATCACTAAAAATAAAAAATAAGTGACTTGCGGTAATTTTGCAAATTGGATTTTCAGATTTTCAGCTAAACCAATTAACTTTTCTCAAAGCTCTACCTCCTCTCCCTCCATCCCCCTCCACAAACACACACGCACGCAAGCAAATACACAAATAATCCTCCGAAAGGCTTGACCATTCCTCCAAATCCATCCCATATTATAAATTACCTACGAGAATGCATTGAAGGGGCTCTAAATACAAGACTTCAATTGGTTGAAGAGAGAAAAAAAATCTCACTAAAGTAGCATGTTTTAGTTCTCAAAATCCATAGGAAATAATTCTCATTTTCGCCAAATTACGCACAACCACTAAGAGTCAGAAATAGCAGCAATATCACTTAGAAATTACATCCCGACATCAAAATACGATGCCTTTCGCAGTGACTTTCTATTAAGCGACAACAATTTAAAGCACAGCTCCAATCAGCAGGTCGGCATTTAATCTCCCCGCCGTCTCATCTCACCCGCTGCCCGCTGCAGTTGTCGCCTTGATGGAGTTGATTCGGAGCCGGGTGGCGATGTTCCTGAGCGCCTGCACCGTCTGCTGGTCCGGCTTGTGGTAGTCCTCCATCTGTCCGATGCAGTAAAAGAGAGGCGGGGGAGAGGGAAAAAAAGCAGAGGCAGAGCGGCAACACACAAGCGGGACAAAACTCGAGGAAAGAGTTAAAAAGCTGCAGGTCAGATGTTCAGTTCAGGAGAATAAAAAATGGAAGATGATGGGTGCGCATAGGACGATGGCAGGGGTTAAGAGGAGGCTGCAATGTGCGGCGTGAGAGAGTCACAGAGGGAGTACGGAGGAGGGAGGGGGTGTGTTTATAAGCAAAGCCTATGAATATGGCTCATATGGGTCTGTAGGTTATCCAAACGTGGCACAATTCATATGGGTGTAAGGAATGAAATCATAAATCCGCCAGTGCGTTTCCCGGATCTTTAAATGTAGGTCGTTCAATAGTTACAGAGATTCAAACTACACTTTAGTCTATATTGTGATTCTCAGTTATGAACAAAATGACGAAAGATGAAAAGCGCCATCATCCATCCAGATGTTTACCTAAAGCTGATAGTGACACCTGGTGGACAATACGGAGAAGTGCAACGTTTATTAAAGCAATGAAGACGACGAGCATGACTTAATCATGTTTCAATCAAAACATGTAAAAAAAAAACAAACAAACAAAAAAACAGTTCAGTTTTGTAATGTCTTAAAGGAGACAAAAAGCAGCACATGTACGCACACACATTGGTGGGTTCAGATCTTTATTATCACAAAATATGTATAATGTCCACTTATGCACAATGACAAACCTAAAAAAATACTTAATTTGCAATGACTTACCCAAGAAACACAAATCTGGCCAGAATGATAAATAATGATCTTAAAATCTTAAATATGACACTTGGTTCATATATTTGTTCCTTATTTAGAAATCTTAAAACAGATGGACTAGAAAAAAAAAGCACTGATTTAATCAAGATTTCCACTTAGTACCGAAAAAAATCGTCTGACATCTGGTTTGTTCCAGGCTGCACATATTTAACTTTCTATCTTTGAGCTTAATTAAAAAAAGAAAAACGGCACTGAAGAACAGAGCTGATGCTGATAGCAAACACATTCAAGTCATGATGTCACAAAGGCTTTACGCCACAATTATTGGTAAAGATGAGCAAAAAAAGTATTAAAAACAGTTTGCTGTAGCAACAGACCGAGGAACACAATGGAGTGGGAATTGGCTGTTTTTTGCTCTTTAAATTAGTAATTTATTACACCAATTTTTTTGCAGCTTATCCAAATGTGAACTTTTAATTTCTTTTACCTGCAGTTTCCTCATCCAGCTTCCAATTTTTTTTCCAGTGTTTTAGACACAGGTGGGTTTAGGAGAACAGAGAATGTCTTGTAGTCAGTTGCAACTCTCTGTGTTTAAAGGTATTTTCTCTTAGTTCCCATTTTGAACAGTGACTAAGAAAATGTGGATCTTGAAATAGGAAGGTATTCATTACTATGAACATTTCCTACTCTTATCAATTAAAAAAAGCAAAATCATACGTTTAAAAAAAAGCTTCAGTTGTACAGAATTGTAATTATTAGGGATGTCAATAAGTGTGGCACTTGTAATTTTGTTAAAAAAAATAAAAATAAATAAAAAAAAGTAAACGTTTCTTAATTTTTCAGTGAGTTAAGCCAATACAGTAAAAGATTATTTTATTTTAGAGATTTTTGTGCACATCTCTATGCAGCAGGTAATAGAATTTATTCAAGGATGTTTCTGATTTTTCAAAATATAAAGAAAAACAAAATAAAGGAAACTATAAAAAAGGCAGACTTTCATACTGCTTACAAAAATACATTGCTTCACTGTTTGTTTCGGTAAATAAATCAGAGCCTGCAAACTAACATCCAGAGTTTTAGAGGGAAAAAGATCCAGGATGTCTGTTATGTTGTGACAACTGATGCAGAGAAAGTTTTTCTGGGAATAAAACATCTGCAAAATAAACTTTTTTTGTGTCTTAGACACACTGGATGCACTATTCCTGTCAGGATTCACCGCTAGATTTACTGGAGGAGTCTCTTACGGCAAAGAATTTAATTCTCTACTTGAAATCAAACTGTAAGCAAAAAATGAGAGTAGTTTATGTCATCCAATCCAATCCAAACTTTAACGACTCGCCTCCCGGGTAGAAATGAGAATGAAGTTGTTAAAGAAAATTCAGCTCCAACTTCTCCTTATGCGTTTTGATTGTAGGAGGATGAATGTAAACAGGAATCCAAACACCAACATGACTTTTGTTTCTCCCTTTTTTGCACAAGATATTTAAATTCATATAAATCTAGTTCTGTAGTACCTTCCTTAAGCATCTCACAATGCTGGTCTGAATCTTTTGTGTACTGCACAAGTCTTCCCAACCCCCACCGAGAAGGTCAAAGGTCAAGCACTGAGAGCTTAGCTGGTGGAGGAGAGGCAACAGCAAACAAGGATGAAAACAAAAGGAACAACTGGAGGAAAGAAAGGATGCAAAGATGGGGCTTTGTGTGATTAGGAGTTATAAACACATTCTACCACTGAACCTGAATTAAAAAAAAAAATTAAAAAACCAGCTCAAAGAAAAATTCAAAATTTAAGTTTTTTTTTTTTTTGCTTCAACGTGGTAGAAAAGGAAAGATATTTATTCTAAAAAAAAAAAAAAAAAAGTTAATTTTTTGGTAAATAAACGTCCACTGTATTCTTCCCTTTCCTGTAATTGGATTTCTTGAAAAAGTGGCCATTAGTTTAACCAGATTCACCATATTTGGAAAGTACGGCTGCAGGACGTAGAGAAGAAATATTCTCCCCTTCGTGTTGCCTTGGTTACTGATCCAGGGTAACAGGAGATTCCAGGGATAGATTGCGCGGCTTTCCTGTAACAATCCTTGGCACATGAACCAGTGCCAAAAAAAGACAACGTGGTGTGCCGTGCGTCACAAACCTGCCTGCTCATCCTGTGTTTTCTCCCAAAATCATGTGTCCTCTTCCATGGCCAGAAAGAGGCCTCAACACTGAAATCCTGTCCGCTTAAAGCCGGACTACAGCTTCATGCTGCTGAAGTCCTTGGATACGCTCTGCAGGTAAGCGTCATGAATGGCACTGAGGAAGTCCGAGTCATTCTGGAGGAGGAAGCAAAACAAAAGTAGAATGATTAAAATGTGGCACCCCTTTTAAAAATCCTTATAATGAAAGTTTATGCAGTAGCATAAAGTTACACTAATTTTTCCTATGAATCCTCCTTTTTATTTGAGCTCAATTATTACTTGCAACATCAAAATTCTACATTAAAAATTATTATTAAAACTGTGTACAACTTTTCTTTTGCCAATAACAAGCAATTAATCTTTTACTTCAAATTTCCACAAGTTTGGACCATCGAGTCCAGTGGGCTTCTCTTAGGTGGCAATGGAAGAAGGGAAAGCTGAGCTGATCCGGTCATGTGTTTTGGATCAGTGTCCATGGAAACGGTAACAATTCATTTTCAGCTTTCTGGCTGTTTCCAAAAAATTCTCATTTAAGTTTTACAACATGTTTACTTTAAAGAGTTCACAGTGCCGCATACTGTACGGTCCCCAGTGCCTTTTGAGAAACATAGAAAGCATTATTTTGATTGCTTGACCCATCCCAGATGACCAGTACCTTAATGAGGTGCATCAAAGTCTCCTGCAGCTGGGTTTTACTGCAGGGGGCCTGCAGAGTCTCTGCAGCTCTTCCAGAAGCAGAGGATGGATCCAGAGGGGCGGACGGGATGACCGGTACTGTTGTGGTTTTATTTGTAGTCTGCTGGAAAGCACTTGGGGAGAGCAGCACTGAAGCATCTGAGCCTGGAACAGCGAGACCAGGGCTCATAGGAATAGCCTGAGAGGAAAAAACAAAGGTTTAAAAAACCAATACTGACAGAGCATCAGTTACCAGAGACAAACAACAAACAGCTGAACTCACAGACATTGGCGCAATCAGTTTGGGAGGCTGAGAGAAAACGTCCTTCTTGGGCTCTTGGAAGCTGTGAGGGGGGACCAGCGTGCTCGGCAGGAAGCTGGGAGCCAGGATGGGTTTGTGGATGCCAGAATTCACGGACGAAGCTGCTGGCTTGAGAGAGCCAACAATGTCCTGTCCCAGAAAGGCAGCTGAAGGTGCTGCGGGTGCGGTGAGGTTATTGTGATGCTCCGACCCAGCTGGAGCCATCAGCAGAGGGGAGACGGAGCAGTGAGGCTGGGGGTCTGGCATGGGGACCATGTGTTTGAAGACAGGACTGGGATTGAGTGCATAGGGAGCGGGGATGTGAGCAGGTCCGTGTGGCTGCTGGCGAGAGCCGGGGTCGTGGGTTGAGAACTGCTGGGTGAGGAGAGGAGCCTGGTGAGCTGCAGCGGGATACGGCTGATTCTGGACGTAGACGTTAGGGAGGTCGCCGGAGGAAGAGGATGAGGCGGCGTTCTGCGCAGAATGTTCTTTAGGGAGCGGAGAACCAAAGAGCTCCTCGACAGTGATCTGCTTCACCATGGTGTGAGAGCTCTGGGTGGTAGACAGTGCAGTATGATTAGCTTAAATCAGTGACCGGTGCAAGACAAACAAAACTCGCATACATACGATACAATCGCAGATTTTCAGATTTTATCTCACAGATAAAGACAAAGGAGAAACTGTGAAGTGAAAGGAACATTATGAAGGGCTTCAAAATATGTTTGCAAATACAATTCTGAAAAGTGTGGAGTGCTTGTATTCAGCAGCCTTTACAAAATAGAACATTCAGAAGTCATCAAATCAGCATCTAATTTAACCTCGGTGTAAATCCAACATTGACTTCTGAAGAACCACTGCTCAAACAACTTCATATTTGTTTTAATTTGAATTACATTAACTTAAGATTGAAAAATATGTAGAATAAAAAACCCCCAGATCTTTATGCACCATTTGGATGATGCCATTTTTGTCCTTTGTCACTTCTGCTATTTTCATTTAAATAAATCTTTTCAGGAATTAGAACTGCTCCATTTTGATTTCAGTTATTAAAATTACTTCTCAAGAAGGTCGGCTTTAGTCTGCAACATAACCAGCTCTGGTCGATAACTTTGGTGTTTCCAAACGCAAATGTTTGAAAAATAAATAAACAAACCTTTTCAGCTGGATGTGTACTGTGTGCAGGTTCTGGAGCCTTGTTGATGCTTGTTTTCACATTCAACTCTGCAGACACATCCGTTTCTCCACTCTGGGCCTTCAAAGCACACAACACATGTAGAGTTAAACTTAAGTTTAGTTTATCAAAAGCCAACATGGGGAACACACATAAAGTAAAGAAAGGTTTGAGAAGGATGGGAAAGGTGTCAAAATTTAAACCTGGAAAAATAACCAGCTGAAAAGCTACATCTATATATATTTGGCATCAGATGTAAAATGTTGAAAATGGAATAAAAAAATATAACGTGTAGAAAAATATATATTTTTTCCAACATTTTCCATTTTCTTTGTGATGCTTTTCCAGACATGGGAAATATTTCAATTAAATTAAATAGTTTTCAAACCTCTAGAAACTATTTAGAGCAGCATTGGTTCTTAACCTTTTTTGAGGTACCGAACCCACCAGTTTCATATGTGCATTCACTGAACCCTTCTGTAAGTTGGG